AGGAGGAGGAATTGATAATAGATATTAGTGGAAGGATTTAGAGGCTCTGCTTCAAGATCCGGGGGTAGCATGTCTTAACTTATCGCAGCATTATCTTAAAAATAAAAATTCTCTGCTCTACTTTATAGAGCATGAAATAATTTCTGTTTACTCATTTCTTTCAATTACTTTGATGCTATGATATAAAGGTCACTGATTGCCTCTAGTCATCACATAGCTTTTTCACTAATTGTGCGCTCACGTCATTTTGTTCTGTGGGATCTTTTGCTTTTTGATCCAGTTTCAATTGCCCAGATGTTCATTTTGTACAGTTAAGTCTATACAAAGGGCGTGCTTTGTTCCAACACACCGTGGTCACTGTTCTCAGCTGGGAGCCCATTGCACAGCAGTTCACCTGTTTCCTATGTAATCCACTATCCATCTCCAATTATGCTGACTTAATGTACAATCATTCACTGGGGAGGGAGGGGTAAGGAGAAGAAATGATGCAAAAATGTTTGCTGGTCCCTTGCCATGGATTGATTAAGGTCACGCTGCAGGATGAAAAGGCAATAAGAAATCGGAAAACTCCTTTGTCTTTACTTCATTGGTGTGTAATGGAATGGAAAATCATGGTAGTACCTTGAAGGATTTTTTTTCAGAATGTGTTAATGGACAACTGGGCACCTTCCAGAAGGAGTCCCGCTGCTTCTGCTCTCCCTTCTCCGTGATCACCTGCAGGGGCTTCATGTCAAGGCAGAGGTGTGTTTGCCGGATCCCATCAGGAAGCTGCCGCACAGTGGGAGGCACTGCTTCACAGTGCACCCAGGGGCCTGAAGATTCCCAGTTCTACAGCTTATAGGAGAGGCAGATGTCACTGCAAGTGTCCCTTCCAGGACAGCCCAATTGGTCTTTGCAAAGCCATGTGGATGTCACACAGGCTAACTGTTCATTTAACTTCACCTTCAGAGTGGTCATGAGAGCTTAGTTCGTGAACAGAATGAATTCCATGGAAGACTTTGAAAGAGGATTGTATGTTATAAATGCACTGGCTGTTGCTAAAGACCTGTGGAGGATAAGCAGTGGAAAACTGGACAGGGATGGAGCAGTATATCATATAAGAAAGGTGTCACTTGGCAGTACAGATCTGTGAAGGTGTTTAAGTTTCTAAAGACACCTTTCCAATGGCAGGAATGTAGCTGCCTTCAGCCTAAAGATTCCTAGAAAGATGACCGAACAAAATTGTCCAGGCTACTGGCAAGGACAGCATTACTGGCAACATTTACAGGGTGTTCATGGCCAAGGCTGAGGCAGAAGATGAGCTCTGCTCCACAGCCCACAGCAGGCAAGAGGAGGCGGCCTGGAGGGGAGCTGGCATCGAGCAGAGATTTTTAACATTGCTTTCATTCAGCCAGTTGTAAGGCTGCTGGGCGAGATCTGCTCAAGGTTGAATGTTGCTTTAACTTGCTCACATGATTTGTTGTGCCTCCCTCTGCATTGTGTTTCCTATGCAGACCTTTGGGAAGGGGACTGCAGATACCAGCGCCCACTCTGCCAGCCTAGTTTGGCAAGGAGGAAGAAAGGAGGTGAGGGAGAAAACCGCAGGTCTTTTCTGGTTCCCCCTACTGATGGTGGCATTGCCTTGGATGGATAAAGGTAGAATGCACCTTGTTTTCAAAGGTACAGTGTTTCCTGTATCTGGGTCTGCTGAAATCAGCAGAAACCAGCACTATCTGGCTGCAACTGCAGAATAATTCTCTATTTCTCTCTCCCTTCAGTCTATAGATCCCTCGGCACAGCTGTAAATTCCCCTGTACAGTGCACAGCACAATTTTCACTGAAAACAGCTGATAAAACATTTCTGGAGAGAAACCTCATTTCATTAAAAATATTTTTTTACCTCTTCCATGCATCTCTCTATTTTTCCCTGTTGGCCACCTGTGCTTGTCGTCAGTCACATGGAATGCCCATAAAGATCACTTCCAGGCTGTATAGGTTGGTGGAAATGAGGCCAAGTGACCAAAGCTCTTCACCTCTCTCACTGGCACTCTCCAGCAGCGACCTGGGAGGGCTCTCCAGTGCAGGATTTATATCTTGGTCTGTTTCAGTGACCGACAGCAGCAGCAAGGAGCTCTCTGGGGCAGAGGACAGGGAGAGAGAGCGTGGGGAATGGTTCTTCCTGGGACAAGCTCCAGTCTGCTCCAGGGAATGTGCTAGTTTTCACTCCTTCATAGTCCTTTATCTCAGCCCTTCGACCTTGAGCTCAGGGGCATTATCAGCCTTAGCCAGAAAGGCAGTGTGGAATTAACTGTTGAAATGCTGAATGTTTCTCATACTAAGCCCTAAAAGTAAAAAATGTAACAAGTGCAACTTGAATAGTCCAGGAAGTCAGTGGACCTTTCAAATTTGCTGAGCGCTGATGTAGAATATTAGGAAAAATGTGTTGTACTGAAGCATGGCAGTTTTCAAAGTTTGTATCCTTCTACCGCGCAGAGGCCTCCTGTAAGAACATCTCGTGTGTACGTACAGGCTGTATGAACTTGGTTTTCTTTGTCGTGTTTCATCCTTACGTGGGCTGGACTGTTACTATTTCCAGAGCACAGGCATAAAGCCATTGATCTCATGCTTATAGCACGGTCTGTACTATCGTGATGACTGCACAAAGTACTAAACTCTTAGCAAACACTAATAATAATAATCCTGAAGTGATTCAGGTTGATGTGTTGGCAGTTGTACTGCTGATTTCTCTGGGTGACTTTGGGCACGTCATTTAATTTGTGTGTCACTTCTCATGTTTGCTGAATGAGCTAAGGATGTCTCAGTGGGCCATCACAGCTATTAAAGAGTTATAATTTTGCTTCTCTATCTTTGGTGCTCAATGAATGACATGATACAGGGAAAAAGCTTTTTTTTCCTTACCGGGAGTGAATGAGCAGCAGTAAGTCGGTAGAAGTAGATTTTTTTCTTGGAGAACATTCCCATCTAATCACTTTGGTGTTCACTGAGTTAATTTGCTCGTGCCTTCAGATTGTTTTGTTTCCAGGGATTTTAAACCCTTGCCTCCAGCAGTTCATTTCCATTGAAGGAGGAGGATCTTTATCTGTCTGAACTAGTTAAAACCTGCTCCACTACCCGGCAGCATTTTGGAGACAGCCCAATACAGTGCAGCAGATATGACACCAGGAGCCTCCTGGACATTGTAAATACCAAGCCCTATATTTTTTTTCCTGACCTCTTGCTGTTGGAGCACTCCTACTTTAATGAGACTTCCTCCACAGCTCCATTTGTCCACTGTCCAAGATAGGCAACGGTATTTGCATTCTATGTGGCCAGCAGAGAATCCATTTAGATTAATTTACCACTCCAATATTATCAGATTAAGCCTTGACATAACCTCAAAGGTGCCATTCAAACAGCTGAGGCACTCTTAGACTCCTCTCAGTGTGCATGTTCTTGGGTTCTTGGGATATTTTGAAGCACGTTTTAGAAATGTGCTCAATATAAAGGTTGCTGCATTGTGGTGGGACTTGTAATACCTTCAGGGCTGCTTCATCTTCGACCACAAGATGGGAAAGTTTTTGTCTTGAGCAGATTACTTGCAGGTTTGTTAACTGGATGGGACAGCCAGCAGATGTACTGAAGGATCTTTTCTGTGATGGAAATCAAATGCCTTTTGTACATCAGGCAAAGATGCTGTCTGTACAACAGGGACTGGCAAACAAAAATTTCTGTTGTCAGTAATGTCAACCCAGGGAGCATGACTAGAATGTGTATTATAGAAATGCCTTTCTTTATTGTTGTGGTTTCTAACAGCACATTATTTTGGCCTGTGCTGAACAGAGCTATGAAATAGGATGGTTAATATGCTAACACTCAGTTTGTGCTTGAGGTTCCTCCTTCTACTGCAACTGCTATTTACAGCAGTGGGAAGATTTGTGGCCAGGAGATCTCTCATGAAGATCAGGGCTGAGAATGAGCCAGGGAGACGCTGTCCTGTTTTGCTGCAGGTGTTGCAGCCCTTCTGTCTTGGGAGTCAGTGAGGCGTGAGGAGTGTTGGGAAGTGGCTCCCCTGCTCCCAGCAGCACGCAGCTGGATCAGTCAGAGCTGAAACCTGTGTGTCTGTGAAAAGGCTGTGAAGCTGCTTTTCTGCTCAACCACCTCATAGCAATTATCACACTATCAGAGGACGGAGAAGGTCTGAGCAAAGGACCAGTTGAACATGTCATCATTGGTATTCAGCAGCTGCATGTTTTGCTGTTGTTACAAATAACCTTTTTAACTTTGCAAGCAATGTTTTTTTGGCATCATTCATACGTAATTACTGAGAGGTCAAATTCAGCTGGCAGTTGTGTAAACATGGAATAATTCTATTGGCTTCCTGATGTTATTTTGCATGTGGATCACAGTCCCTGTCCGTAGGAGCTTGCAATCTGAAATACCTAGGGAGAGCACTCTGTCACAGATGAGTTAGTATGCAAAGCAGTTAAAAAAAACAGATGAACTGCTATCAAATCCTCGCAATATAATTACAACTATGTTGTCCTTTGGTTGAGGTTAATGGTTTAGTCCTCTGTAAATGAGAGGAGGCTATTTTTTGTATGTAATTCACCAGTAGATTACAATTAGAAAGCCTTTTGGGAAAGTGAGTTTTAAAAGAGCTTTTAAATAAATATTTGATAGTTATTTCTTTATGTGTATAGAGAGGAATTTGACTGGGACAAACAGAGAACAAGAATCATGGGACAAAATAGGTGCTGCTTGAAATAGAGCAGCCAGGAAGTCTGCCATAGAGGTCAGAAGAAAAGGAGAGCTTGACAAAGGAGGGTGTTGGAATTGCTGTTTCCCTTCCAGCCTTGTTTTTCCCCCCTCTACTTCCCAATATATAGACTTCTAAGACTCTAAGTAAGGTTTCAGTGGTTTTAAGTGGTAAATAAATATATCTTGATTTCAGTCTCTTTTCTGACATGGTTCTTACGAAGTTTTTCAGGATTGAAGTGACTAATTGCACTTGTCATTTTTAGGGATCTTCCAGACAATCCTTCTGTTGAATGGGACACACGGCTCCTTGCCTCCTTCGTGCTGAAGCATATAGAAGCCAACAACATCAACCTGGTAATGTGAAACTTCCTACCACACAGGCAGCGCTTTTGAGCTACTGTTCTAGGCCACTCCTAGAAAAAGATCCAGAGATCTTTCTTGGCTTCTCATTGGGAAATAAACAGTGGAGAGGTTTTGTTTTAGTAACTCCTCAAATGTTTCTTATATTTTAAAACAATTGTTTTTCCCGTGTTACTAAGTTTTATTGCTAAAAAGGGCCTGATTGGGATTTAGGCGTTGGTTTAGGCTTAGGTTTGAAGGACATTGGCAGGCATGTTAGAAGGCTAGATTAGTAGGGGCAGGATTGAAGGTTATTAAACCAGAGTTCCTAGAAATAGAGTTCTTTCCATCAAATAGGAAAAGAAAACATGGAAAACTGTGCTCTGTTCTTTTCTGTTGACCGTTGCTGTGATCACACGTGTTATTGTCACACACTGATTAGCAGCAAAATCACAAAAAAACTTTGAAGTGTTTCATCAGTGTGCAAAACAAGAAGCCGCAGCTCCTGCAGCATGAAAGCCCCCTGAGCATGAAAAACAGCAACATGTATCCAATTGTATTGATTCTGTGGCTAATTTTCCATGGAATATATTGCTGTACACAGAGACAAATCCAGTGTTTGTGCAGTCCTTTTGTGCCTTTTGATCCGGTGAATAGATAGGTTTTAATCTAATCTGAAAGCTCCTGACACAACAGGATTTGTATTGCGTTTTTGTGACTCTCCTGGGCACTGGGACAAGTGCACCGGAATCCCAGTAGAAGCTCTGAGAACACCAGAACTTTCTATAGATGGTTAGAGAGGGTTAGATCTTTGCCTCAGAGGAAATTAAACTCAAGCTGTTCGTTCTGGAGAAGCAAGAGTCTGGCACTAACGTAGCGTGAGCTGAAAAATCAAGTGTGGGGAATTGGGAAGCAAGAAGCATGCACAACCACTAGTGCTTGCCCTGCTGTGCTGCTGGTATTATAGGGTGTAGCTGTAGTAATGAAGAGTGCTGTGGCAGGGCCTGTTGCATTCCCCTTAGCAGTTCCTTCAGCAGCAATGAGGACAAATGATTCTAGCAGAATGTCAGCAGCATCAGTGGCCACTGAAGCATCTTCATGGGAACGGTGGTCATGAACTGCCCCCTGAACTTGCATTATTTTCAGTGTCACAGGTAATCACATGGTCTCAAATATCTGCTGTAATACCTTTCAGGAAAGAGCAGACCTAGTTTGCCAACAACGGAAAGCAAGCACCAAATTGCCTTTGTCCAACTTCCAGCATTTTGGAACTGCAAACTTGCTGTGTGTTTGCCAGTCTGTTGTATGAGACAGTAGCCTTGTCTTGAAAGGTAAACTGAGTCTGTTTCAGTAATGGTGAAAGTGATAGGATTAGCTTAACGTGTTAAAAGAGCTTAATCAAAATGTAAGTTAACAGAGTTTCAAGCACATCCAGCTAATTCACTGAAGTTAACGTGATTGGAAGACATATATTGCCTTTACTACCCCGTGGGAAAAATGTCTCCAGTTCTCCCTTATCTTATCACAGAAAATGGTATTTTTTTATTTACAGAACATGTGTCACCTGGTAGTGGAGAAGCATGCTGCAATTCCAGCAGGTCTGAAAGATTGCAAGGCACCGTGTTAGGCATAGTTTTGTTCCATTGCATTGTTACTCATTTCCACAATTGCCCTGGAAGTCCAAGAGTAACTCAATCTTGCTGAGAGCTACAGGGACATGTTTCATCCAAGCTCCATGCCAAATAGAGCAGGCACAGAAATTAACAGTTGGTGTGCTCAAATCCAAAACTAATTTATAGACTTGGGAAATTATTTCCTGCCTGCTGGATTTATAAGCAAAAGCCAGTGGTGCTGGGGGAGCAGCCAAGGATAGTCTTGATCCTGATTAGAAAGTATTTGGCATATAAAGAAAATGAAGTTGCATAGTATTGTGTGGGCCCCAGGCAGCCCCAGATTATGAAATTCTCCTCTTCAGGATTGCAGATTTGGTGACAGCAAAGCTTGGATTACAAGGTGACATTCAGACTGTGAGCAGGGCAGCTGCAGTGCCAAGACCAGAATTCAGCAGTAAGAGATTAAAAGATGCCTTCCACCATAGGCTGCTGGAAACATTATCCATTCAGCTGTTTGCAGAAGAGTCCCATTGTCTTTGCTCAGCTCCAAATCAGTCTGGATAGCCAGACCCTTGGGCCTATGAAATGATGCTATTAGAATGCAGGTTCTTGCTGTAGCACTTCATGGGATGGTCTTTCTTAAAAAGCGAAGATGTTTCTATCTACAGCAGTGTACTTGAGTAGGTGTGTATGCTCTGAATGACTGTACAATGCCAGGCAGAGTGAGGGAGACACACAGCTTCTGCAGCACACGCAGCATGTAGAGGGAGCATGGACTCCAGACTTCTCAGGGGTTTTCTGCTTGTAACTGAGTAATTTCCTCTGTGCTCTCCCCACTCTGGATGGGATTTCTGGATCTGTTTGTCTTGGCTGCTGCTCTGGTTTCCATTAGCGAAAGCTCAATTTCCTAAATACCAAAGTCACCCAAAAGAAAACCCAGCAACACCAACAGCAGCAGCTCCCATTTCAGAGCAGGTGTGGGGAGGGAACTCCCTCTTGCCCTGAAGATTTCATTGAGCAATAATTTCCACATCAAGTGTATTTCCTATCCTACCCTTTTGCTCCCAGGACTGGCTAAGCCTGTTTTTAACCCAGGGTTTCAAGATGTTCCGGTTTCTTCATCCTGCCTTGATGGTTTGCTTGATTTCATCATCTGCCTGGTTCAGGTCATGTGTTTGAAGGAAGCGAGCTAACTGCACCATGTGGAGGAAGAAAATGCTCCCATGTGAAAATATCTTCATCATGTGAGAAAGAAGTTCAGATTTTTTCATCAATGAAATTAATCCCTGAAGCTTGAGGAATATATTTGCATGTGATTGCTGCCTGCTATAAGCCTTGAGCACCACAGTGATGCTGTGGAATCAGTGCTCTGTTTTAGAACCCAGACCTAGAAGCTACATACTGGATAGGGGGCGCCACCAATGTGTCACAGTCAGCCTGAAGGATCTTTGAGGACAAAGATGACCTGCCTGCAGATCAGGTGAATGCTGCTGTGACCAGGTCAGTGTGCAGGTACCGTGGGAGTTATGTTTACAGATTTCTGCAGTTGAAGAGACACAGCCTATTAGGTTGCAATTGTCCTAACAGTAAATTAGACAGTATCAATTTAAAGTGAACTCCGTGCAATCTCTTTACTTGATTCACATGTTACATAACCACAGCAATATGAAGAGCAGCAACTCCTATTTCAGAACAGATGTGGAGAAGGAAAACCTCCAAAGGTGTTTCTGTGCAGATAATTTCCACGTCAAGAACATTTCCTAACCCAGCTTTATGCTCCTATAGTTGGCCTGAGCCAGTTTTGTCAAAATAGTGATTAGCTTATTTAGTCTGCTCACTGTAGCCTCTTATCTTGGTCTTCTAGTTTGTTCTCCTGTGCTCGCTATAGAAAGGAAAATGTGTGTTTTGGCTTGCCTTGAGTTTATAGTTTGGTTTCCCAAGGAAACAAGTATAATGCAATTTGTGTGTGTGCATGTGCGTGTTTCAAAAGACCTTAGAGCCCATTGGCTGATTTCAACCACATTTTACAGCGGGGTGGTAATCTTGAAGACGTTTTATTTATACAGGTTACATAAACATAAATTATCAGGTAGAAGAGACAAAGCTTGCTCTGTCCCTGTATGGTTAAAAGGTTAAGTGAGAGTCCAATGCAATCCTTATCAGACTCTCACTGTTAATCACCTGCTCAGGAATTTATTCTGCCTGTAGTGAGTGGGACACGTTGTCATGTCAGGAGAGCTCCACTATAGGTAGAGATGAGTTCAGAGCGCACTGTTTCTTATCTGTAGAGTGCAGAGTGCTGTGCTGGTTCCTCAAGCTGTACAGAGTTCAGTAACATCTTTCCCAGATGAGCTCCTTAAAAAGCTGATAATTTTAGGGAGAGCTGAGCACCATTCCAGACCATGCAGTCCCTGCAGACAGACTGTCAAGTAGTGCTGATGTACAATAAAAACAGCCAAACCAGAAGCCACCTGCTACTTGGTGGCAACACAATTACAGCCACTGGGCAAAGCAGAGGGTCTGTCTGTGGGCTTGTGCTAGATGCATGGGCTGGTTAGCAGGTTTGCCTGGAGTCTGTGGGATTTGAAGTATTTTTCACTGTCTCTGTTTCCTGTCCTTTACACGGTATCTCCTATGTGTGAAAGGGCCTCTTCTGTTGGAGGGTGGAGTAGAAAGTTGCAGGATGGGCAGGGTGGCTTTTGATCTTCCCTTGATCATTAACCCAGTAGTTCAAGCCTTGCTTAGAAAATAGATGTTGAGGAGGGAGCTGTGGTGAGTAAGCAAGGCGGTAACATTTTTTTTTTCCCTTGAGGAAGAACGGGCTGGCAAAGAAGCAAATATCTGTTGAAATGTAGGGAGTTTGATTCCTTCCTGGTCATGGAGAAAGGAGCTGTGAAGAACTGCTGCTTGGCCTCTTTCAGTGTGGAAGCCTAACGATGCTGTTGAAGGGCTGTCACTTTCACCATATGGAAACCATACCAGTACCAGCATATATACCCCGTCTGCCCTACACTTTGTGCTGCCACTTTGTCTTCCAGATTGGTAGCAGGAATCTTTTGATACCTACTTCACAGTACTGTGCAGAATGAGCACTTAGGGTGGATGCTTTGCCCCAGTATGTTATTGAGTGGCTCTGAGGACTGGGAGCCAAGGGTATTCCATGCTTTGGATAGCAACTTGTTAATGCTACTTTCAGATGTTATTTCTGCATTAAAAAGTCCTCATTTCTCCCTGTAGAGAAGCAAAAAAACAACATGCTCTTCTCATTCAGCTGACAGCCTGACTTGGCTGTACAAAGAAGGCAATCAGCTGATTCCTTAAAAAGGTTTATTCTCATATCAGATTATCAACTATTGCTGTTGTGTGATGAAGTCTCATTACAATCAGGACAGTAATGCACAATTGTGTTGCTCTTATTAGAGCAATCTGTCCTGAATCACAGCACAGCAAGCTTATAGTCTCACCCTGCAGTTCACAGGCATTCTGGTATGTTCTCAGATTCAGGAGAGAGTGATTCATAGAGCTGGACTACTTAGGACAAGAACAAGTTTGCATGAGATTACTCTGAAAGTAACCTTTTGGCTACATAATAAGTAACAGGAGCATCCTGCCATTGGGAACATGGTACTTATCGTTTCTCCCTTGTTTAAGCTATTAGACTGTATAGTTGGTTAGTTCCAGAGTGTCCTCACTTATTTGTTTAGTAGTGTTTCTGTAACTTGAGTTCACGCACAAAGGCTACATTGTGCAACACAAAAACAACTCTTTGGAGACAATGGGCTGGGACAGCGCTGCGTTAGATGTCAAAGCTGGTTATTGCATTGTCTCTTTATTCTTCAAAATGTTTACTGTTCTGTGGTTTTATTTTGCAGGTGGTAACTTTTGATGCGGGAGGAGTGAGTGGTCATGCTAACCACATTGCTCTCTACACTGCTTTAAGGTACAGTGCTCTGTGTGCTTTGTCGGATGCCTCCCTGTAGTGTTACAGAGTGAACGTGGTGTTTGTGTGTAAGCAGTTAATTACCAGCTAGAGCCAAGAGCAGTATTAACTTTGCTCATACCTGTGTGCCAGGCCATGGGATGTGATGCTATTTAGAGGAGTGCCTACAGTGTTGTAAATGACGCACAGCACTCTTTATTATTCCACCTGCTGGTGCTTTGCTGGTCTTCCTTTCACTGAGGCCTCTTTTGCTCTTCTCATTCTTGATCTCAGAGCAGTGACGCATTCTTACTCTTAGTGCAGTGAGTGAATGCACTTGCACTGAAGTGTGCCACAGATCATTGCGTTTCTGATTTGAGGTGAGTATGTGAATAGATGCATGAGCTGGTGGTAGTGGAATTTTGGAGAGGCCTGCACCATTGTTCAGGAGGATGTTTGCTATGCCATCTGGTTGTCTGAATTTACTACTCTGGGCAAAGGATATTGCTCTTTCATGAAAGCAGTTCCTATTTACTGATCTTCCCAAGTCAGTTCACTGCTTTATTCTTTAAATTCTGTGTTGTGATGTAGGAAGGATGCTAGACAAAAATCACCCAATTTTTTCCTGGCAAGGCAGCTAACCATATTTTATTTTAACTGCTCATTCAGATGCATTGTGTCCTAGAGTGATTTCCCTTAGAGCCGCCCCTGTCTTTTCCAGGCATGAGAAGAACTCTTTGCAAGTTATCTTGTATCTTTAGCACCCAGTTGTTTTCTGAATCATCTGTGCAATTCAAGTAACTGGATCTCCAACATCATAGTCATTTTTCCTTCCTTACTTGCTTGAAGAAAGCTACAGAGCCACACATCCCATACTGGGACCTACTGAGCTCTTCTGGGAAGATGCTGAGAATCTTGGATCCTATCTCATGGCTGGAACTCAATGTTAGAGGAGATCGTGGCTTTTCCCAAGATCTTCTGAAATATCTTAACAGAAAGAAGGGAAGTGAAGTTAAAGTAAACAGTGCGTTTGTTTGGACTAAGTGGTGAGATGCTTTCCAGCACGATGTTGCTTGAGGGGTGAACAAAGGACAGAGGTTGATGGCTGATGCTTACACATTTGCAGAGCGTTTGCAGAGAGCTTCCAGCTACCAGGACCTTCAGTGTTCCCTCAGACAGTTTGCCATAGGGCTTGCAAATAGAAATAGAAGACAGACTGTTAGATATCCCCCTGTGTCCTGAAGAAATATAGGGAAAACAAGGTAGCAGCTGTAACAGCTGTATCAACTATTATCCCGATTCTGCTTTTGTGTCACTTTGTACCTGTGCAGAAATCACTTTACCACCTTTGCACTGTAGGTTTCTTACATATGCATAGGGAATTGTTAACCTTTTTCTTGTCTCAGAGTAACTTCCTGAGAAGTATTCTTTATCTGGAGGCCCCTTGAGCCCAGATCTTTGCATTAGTCCTTAGCCCAAATAGAATATTGCCCTGAGCTGATGAGGTGGTCTCACTTGTTTCAGAATATATAAGCATTTCTCATTAATTAAGGACCAGTTTGTGTCTCATCTCTTTTCTGGTCCTGAATCAGCAAAAATAAGTGTGGCAACTCAGTCATCTGTGTGTGCCAGGAGTGATGCTGTGGTCACTGAAAGGTTAATTTTATTTTTAGTGTCTTGCTTGCTCTCATTATTTTTCAGTTTGTGTCATGGAGGAAGTAGAGCGTGACTGTACCACTCCTGATTTTCAGTGCCCTGGTGAGTTCTTATATACTGGCTAGTGCAGGCAGCACCAGGAGCATATGTGGGGCTTCTCACAATACCCCCTGCTAGCAGGGCTTTGCAGAGCAGAGGTTGCTGCCCCAGGGCCTGTGTGCTACATGGCAGCAAAAAGACAAATGAACTCTCTTCTCTAGGTATCATGTGGAATGCGTTTATTTATTAGCCATCCTTAAATGAGGTCTGCAGGACTCTGCCTCCACTATGATGGCAAGTGGAAAGGGTGAAGCAGAAAGCTGATAAAGCAACACTCAGCTCTTTGGGAGACTGACCTTATGCCCACTGAGAGGTTGCTTGCTGCAAGAGCAGAGGTACAACAGGGCATGTGATCCATTCCACAGCTCCTTGCTTCAGGAGATACAAATTATTAAACAGCTGCAAGAAGCACAACAGTTCAGGAAATGATCATAGCTCAGCATTATCTGCTAAGAATGTAAATAACCTTTCTAGGATCTGAGACAGAAGTTATGTTCAGAAGAGCAGAAGCTATTCAGAAACTGTTCTGAATTCCACTTGCACCAAATATCCTTGTAACACCCTGCAAGGAGTCCAGATGCTGTTGTATACCTAGCCTTCAGATCTGTGAAATGCCAAGGTTTGAGAGTGGGTTTCTTCTTTTGCAAGGGAAAAATACTAAGGGGAAAAAAAAAAAAAAAAAACACCCAAAAATAGGATGGGGGAGAAACACAAATTGCTGTTTGATTTTGATCTCCCCTGGGAGTATTTCAGTTCTGCTTTCCAGATTGGAGAAAAAAAAAAAATCAAAAATCATCCAAAGAAACAAACAAAAAAAAAAACAAAACCAACAGTATAGCAAAGAAGAGGGAATTGAATGCAATTTTCTATAGCTCTATTTCTTTCCCTCTGGCCTGGATTTGGACATAATTCTCCTTTATCCTCAAAGTAGGAGCTTTCCCTGTGGCCAAGACTGGACCCTGTACACACATTCACAAGAATGAACAGGTCTCAAGTGACATCAGGGTCACTTAATTCCCTTTCTTAGTATTTGGTCAGTCACTAAAGCACTACAATAATAACCATGGTAAATAATACGTGACAGGAATATCTGAGAACCTCTTTCCTGCACTTTGAAATGACAGTGTTTGCACTGAGATCACATGTAATATCAAGGAGTTCTAGCTTTGCATGAGTCATCTTGCATTTTGGTTTTTATACAAGCCTTCTTGCCCAGCAAACCGAGGGCTGTTGATTTTGTTATTTGCTTGCTTAAGGTGGGGAGAAATGGCCGCTGTGAGGGGGAGGAAGGACTGTAACATTTGTTTTCTTCAGTGAGCAATCAAATCCATTTCATCCCAACTAGAACAGAAAAGAATAGTCCTTGTCTGCTTAGGGCAGAGCAAACTGAGTGGAAAATAGGAGCTACTATATTTAACCATGCATTATGTTGTTATAGCAACTGCATCCATAAAACTTATATCAACGATGCCATATAAAAAGCTACATCAAAGAATCATTAGCTGAGCCTATTCTCATCAGTTCAATTTAGAAAAACACCTCTCAGTCTTTCAGGATGTTTCTTAACATCCATCAGCTCAGTGGTAGGTTGTAAATGGGACTGTGATATCGCTGCAGAAATGATATTTGGGAGCTTAATGCTGTACCTCTCTTGAGTTGATTGTGATGCAGCTTGAGTGCCACCAATGCCTTTTGCACTTACATGTCACAGCTTGACTTCTGAGTACCCCATTTATGAATGCCAGCCATGGTACACAGCACCGTGAGGGTGGATTGCACCAGGGTTTCCTCAAAGAGGAGATCTGATTAAATGCCAGTTTCAAATAAGTGTATCTAAACAGTGATCACCATTGTCCAGCCACATTTGGTAGGTACTGATTTCAAAAGCTGCCTACTGGATTACATCTCTACAAAGCACAGTTGTGCTTGTATTGATTTTCTAAGTTCAGGTCTGTAAGAACATGTTGAACAAGAAGCAAGCTGTTTCTATGATAATTAGCTTGATGATAGTGTATGGGTTCCCATCTACCATTTTTATTGCAGATCTTTTTACAGTGCAGGGCTAGAATGGGACTCTGGTCCCTCACTCCTTTTAAGTATCTGTAGTCCACGTATTTCAAATGAGTGACATCTCATTTATGTTTTCAAAGCGGACTACAATCTTATTTCCCTTGCTTTCTCCCAGTAAATCTTTCTTCCAAACCAACTATTATTTGCTCCACCTTGGAAAAGGATTTTTTTGTGTCGTTGATGTGTATGGTTGGGATTCTTTAGGCCCTAACAGAGTTGTAGGGTTCCTGCAAAATAAAGAGGATTGGAGAAACAACAGAGTGCATTATTTTATGTTTCAGTCTGTCCTTTAACAGCCCAGCTCACTTCTGGTATTTTGTTTTAACTGTCTCAAATGTCCTAAGTGATGGGAGAATTTGTGAATAGTAGCTGTGGTTGGACCCAGACTCTGTCCTTAAGGTCAAGAAAGAAATGTCCTGTTTTTTATCCTCTAAGTTTCTGTGCTTTCCCCTCAGATGACTGCCCTATGCCTGGTATACATCAATTTGGTATCTTGCTGGGTATTTCCTCCTAGATTTCATCTCATTCCTTAATTTGACTGAGCTCATTCAGGAACGTGGAAGGGCACTGGGGTGGTGAGAGCCATTAGGGTAAGGTTGCACACAGGGCACTGTATTGTTGGTAGTCAGCAGGGATTCCCTTCTAACAAGAAGTTCTTGGTGTTTTTTTTTCTGAAGAAACAGCCTCAAGGAATGTCCTTCCCAGTGTCACTAGACTGCTAGCAGCATGACTGGAGCAGTGACACTGCACATTCTTCTCCCAGTGCAGGGACCTAAGCACAGAGCCAAAGAGAAGCTCTGTCAACTGGAAAATCTCTGAATTGCCCCTTTTTTTTCTGAATGATGGAACCATCTTTTACCACTGTGATCCACGTGAGTACAGAGTGTCTGAATAGTGTTTAAAAAGCTGCATGTCGTTACGTGGTGTAGTTCAGGGTGCATGGAAAGGCAGCCAGAAAGTCCAGTTAGGGAGGGAGGAAGCGTTCCAGATAGTAAACATTCAACATCTGGCAAGTATATCCCTCTAATGTCTTGGTGATTCCTAGGAGACTAACTGTTCTTCCTCTTTCACATCTGTTTCATCAGATTAATTGGGCAGATTGGAGGTTAGGATCCTAAACGGAGCCCCAGCGTATCTTGAAGACATCCATTCTTTTGCCATGCTCTTGAAAACTGCATTTCCCCAGGGCTCTACAGCATCCAGTGTAGCACAGTGAAGGGTTTTACCTTTGGCACCAGGATCTAATTGGAGAGTGAAGTCATTGATTTCTGTGAACAATTTCTCACTGAAGAGAACATTACCAAAGTTGTGATCCACCCACCTGAGCATCAGTCCTGCTTCTAACCAGAGAAGCTCTGTGTTCCCTGAGGCAGAGGTCCCAGCTCCATCTTGACTTATTCCTTCTTGCCTTCACAGGCTGATATCAGGGATCTGTACTTTCGAGCTAGCCCACTTGCTTTGCTGACAGCTTTCATTGAAGTAGGCTGAATAAAGGATTTGGGAGCTATCTCCATTCAGCAGTTTGCAGAATGGGGTTTGTTGGCCACTTCAGTTTTTGTGCTGGGTGATAGCTACAGGCAGGAGTAACTTTCAAAGCTGCTGGTCCTTGAGGGATGGTCCTTGCAGTGCAGAAATGGTGGATGCCATCACAAGTCTCATAGTATTTTGGAGCTCTTCTTTGCAGAGGGTTGCACTTGGTTTCAAATGTGGATCTGAAACCTACAAAAAAACAGGGGGTGCAGTGAGAAGTACCTTGAAATCAGCTGCCCTTTGGGATTTGATGGGTGGATGGGAATGAGCTCTATATTTAAAAGAAAAGAATTTTTATAAAAGGTCTCTTTGGAAGAAAAACACAAAAACACTGCTAAAAAAAGAGCCTGTTTGTGTTTGACTTGTCAAGATTTTATGCCAAACTCTTTCATTTCACCCAAACCACAGCAAGTCCAATCTATAAAACAGCATTCCCGAAATGGCAACAACAGACAGCTGCAACCTCTCCCCTACTTGGAAGCGTCCCATGGAGAAAGCTTCAGCAGGGTGGAGATGGGAGCAAGAAGATTGATTTGGGGGAGGATTGGCTAGTTTTTATGAACATGTTGCTTTCTCTCTCTTCCTCTGCTTCTCTCTCTCTTTCTGCAACCACGCAGTTCATTGCCAGCTCTAGCCTGAGAAATAGGAATGAGCAAGGCTGCAATTCCTCTGCACCTGGGTGGAGTCCATTCTGAGAGCTCTGCACAGAGCTGAACTATTTGGCTCAGGACAAAAAGGATAAGGAAACGATCCGAGTTTCTCTGTGCCTGTTCTTCCAGATCAGAATCAAGTCTCTCTAGCTGCAGTGTTGAAGTCCTTTCCTTAACCAAACCATGTAGTTTGTGCATCTCTGAACCTTTACACAAACACAAGCCCCTTCGTTTTCTGCTGGATTAAACTTTCCTTCCCTGCTGAAGGTGCACCCTGCTCCTGCTGGAACATTTCCATATGAACTGGATCTCTCTTTGTTTCTGTTTCTAGTGGCCAGAAATGGTGATTATTAGTTCACTCTTGGAGCAGCTCTTCACAACCTTTAACTTGCTGTCAGTTAGTGCTTTGACAGTCTCAGTACAGCAGCAGCACACCCAGAACAGGCACTAGGACTTGGGATAGGTAGCCAAATTTCCCACCCCTCACTGCTTTCTCTCTTCAAGTTTATTTTAAAATAAGTTCCCACCCTGCTAGCTTTACTGAGTGCTGAATCACCACTTTGGGTGGCCAGATTCTAGCTGGAGGGGAAGAAACTTCTGGCAGAAGAGCAGAGCACACATTAATGGAGATATTTAAACCTTTCCCTTGCCTCTGAAAAATTGCTGGTAGTGTTTATGGAGCAACATTGACAGTCTTGGTCTGTACAGTAGGACTTGAGTAGTGGGGCATAAGAGGGCTAAGCCAATATTACAAGGCCACTGTTTAGTAGAAAATGGTATTGCTTGTTGATCTTTGGCTCTGGAGGAGACCATTGGCAAGAAAATCTGTTTAAGGCCTATGTCTCCTGATTGCTGTTTGAGTTCTGCCATGACCTGCATTCTGGCTTCGTTTTTGCTTTGAATTGCTTTGGCTATTCATATTTCAGTACTTCCTATTTTGTCTACTCCTGTGTAGCTAATCCTTTTCCTTGAACTTAACCAACAGCCAGAGATAATCCTAGTTTGAAAGTGACTGGAGAAACATAACAGTTTACATATAATGTATGTTTTATCCTGGCTGATTTACACATGAACTGTCATGTTGTCCTTTGTTTAATACACCACTATAAGATGATAACAATCTTTTTAAATATTACACAGGGTTAAATAACTTTCCTTTTTTTTTTTTTATTTCCTTTCTCTTTTTGGCAAATGTTCCATTGTTTGGATATCTTCTTCTAATGGAAGAGCAAGCCTGGGTCTGGGACAGCTCGGAGTGCCATCTGCTGGAGACCTGCTTCCTCCCATCCTTTTGATGGGCCAAATCTGGAGGCATTCAAATGGTGATGCAAGCATAGGTGTTCTGTCACCATGAATAGGGCCAGAGCAGAAAAAAATTGTCCCCTCATTCTATTCCAAAGGACATGTTTTTGTCACAGAAATTTCCCAGGTAAAAGTCATGAACAGGTAAAAGTCTTATTGAGCAACAAGTTGGAGCAAATTTTTGGATGTCCCAATGCCAGCACAGGTTAGAAAGAATGAAGTTGGTCCCCAAGCAGGAGCTGTCAGCTATGTTCCTGGTCAGCAGACAGACCTGTAAGAGCAAATGCTATCAAAGAGAACCTTTGGCAGCCTCCTATAGTTTCCCTTAGTGCAACAGAAGTTTGAGAGTGACTTGGATTTATGGAGCTTATTTGTGCTGTGTCCCCAGCCTCACATATGCCTCCAGCGTCTGCTCCTTAACTTTCTTTTAAGATCAACTATTGTAAATGTGTATTAAGAGAAAGGGGTTAATACAGAGTCCATGTCTATAACATCAAGATTTGAGTACCTTCGTTATTGTTTACCTACGTGTATCTCTTCTTTCACAGGTACCTGCTTTCAGAGAGGAGGTTACCTGAAGGTATGTCACACAAACAGTCATGACTCTGCACACATTAGGCAATCCTTCACATGTTCTGTCCAGGGCTTCATCTGCCATACCCACCTCTATTTGAAATGCAAATGAAACCCACAACTGAACCCTTTCTTGCTCTTTTATCTCCCTGCAGCCTTTCACCAGCTAAGGCTCCTCTGCAGTCACTTTCCTGTCTGGTTTGAGGAGCTTATGCCTTTCCTGTCCTTTGGGGTTGTCCCGTATCAGTGGTGTGACTTGGTGTCTGCTCTATGATTTTTGCAATCTTGCTTAAATGTAAGGGCAAAATTAGTTTTATTCCCTGATAGTAGCACATTGCAGACCAAGATCTAGTGGAGAGAGCTGGGGCCAAGATGGCAAAATGCCCTATAACTGAGCTCTCACTCTAGTCTCTTCGATTCTGCCATCTAAGAAAAATAGCATTAATGCCAACTCCTGTCCTAGGAACTCTGAGGTAACAGCAAAGAGCTGTGTATGCGCTGTATGCAGGACAGAGAAAGAACAAGGAACTGCAGTGGTAGATGTTGCTGCTAGATGTCAGTTATTTTCTAGACCAAATCAGCTCTGTGCTCAGTTCATGCTGGTTTAGACATGGACATCAGACATAATGTGGTCCTGAATAGACTGGATGGGCTGTGCCTCAAATTGGTTCAGGTTTGAAACAGACCCACATGTAGATAGCATTTCCATTTCTCTAGCAGCATCATGAAACTCCTGAAGCTATATAAAAGCCTTGCTGCTCTGATTACATCACATCTGACATGACCTACAAATGCTAAAGGAATGGGGAGCTCCCATGCTGCTGCTTACGCTAAGCCTTTCCAAATATAGTTCCAGTCTCATTGAAATTCCTGGTATTTATAATTTGATCTGGCAGGCGTGCAGGGCTGTGCATCAGAGGGGCTTAATGAAACGAGAGTGATGCTGGGATTGAGGCTGTCTGGATAGAGCTGAAAGGCATGTTCAGGCCATGGAAATGTCCTGCTCTGCTGTTGGTAAGAGAGAAGTATTTGCGGGTGAACCCGTGTAAGCTCATGTGATCAGGGAATCCAGAGAAAATCTCTCTGCAAATGCAAAAGCCAGCTAAGCCTTGCATTGCCTCACTGATATGCAAATGAGCACCCTAAATATCCTGCTTTGCTTTCTAATGCCCTTAGCCAGCATAAAGACAGCAGGCTTTTTATAATCTGTAATCAAGTTGTCCAGGCCAGGCACAAGCATGTAGGCTTGTTTCTAGAAGCCAAGACAGCTGCTGGTATGAATCCACCCCAATTGCTGGCCCTGTCCAGCTTTAACCACCACTCTTTCAGAAGAGTTGGTGTGCTGATGTCTGTCAGGAGCAGTGCAAGCCCTTAGCATGCGTAGATCTGCTAATAATCTCATTCTAAGCATACTTGCTGCATAAGCAATTTGAAAGTAGAAAGCCAAGCCAAACAGGCTTTATGCGCTTCTATTCTAGGTCTAATCCACTAGCTATATTGATCTTGCCCTTTCTGCCAACCTAGAGAGGTTGTATTACACTGTTAATCCTGTCCTGCCCAGGTCACAGGCACAGCAGGCTCTGAAGAGCTTCACCTGCTGGTGTCATAGGAGTAGACTCATCAATGGCAGCACTTCTCTTACCCTGCTTGGCAGGGTGCAGTCTGTTTCTCTCAATCCTTTTCCATCTCTCACTAAACTGTACATTCCTTCCCTGCTTCACTTCATCTCACATTCCCATGCAGAGCAGCCCTTGCTGTCAGCATGTGGAGATCCTTGTCATATCACTGACACAGAAGGCTGTTACAGTGCCCTTCATGTTGTGAAGCTTGAATGCCCATGGCTTTGCCTGATCTGACCGATGGGGGCCCAGGAGGCCCAAGTGATGAATACTAAATATTGAGTGTGGTTGCAGCTGTTTTGGGGACCTTACTGCTGAGATTTGGGGAATAGCAGGAACAGAACCTGCAGGCTTTGCTGTTCTGAGGAAGAGAGCTGGTGCATTCTAGAGTTAAAAAGAGCACAGATTTGCCGCTTGGAAACAAGAAGTGTTTTTAGTGCCAAGTAAAAGCTGTCAGGGCACTTCTGCATGGAGCAGCAACACACTCATCACTGCAGAGCATCCTTCGTGACAGCAGGCTGAAACCTTATGGCAGCTAAACAGCAACTGCTCAGTCTGTGACGTGTCAGGAAGGACCGTGAGCAGCCGGGCTATCAGGAGGTGACACAGGCCACCCGGTCACCCAGCTGCCTGCGTTCCCGCACGTCCCAGGGACACACTGCAGGGAGCTTGGCGCTGCTGTCGGTCCTCCCAGACAGCATTGCACAGCTGCAGCTCCACAGGGACCCACACGGTGACCTTGCGAGGTTGAGCAGCCGAGGCTGCAGTGGGGAGCAGAAACGTGGCACGGCAATGACATGGTTCTGACCACAGGGCCACCAGCACTGTAGGTGCTTGCAGTGACCCAGCCAGGCTGTGCGTTTGCAGCTGCCTCGGGCTGCCATCTGCCGGCAGCTGCAGGAGGGCTTTGCTCCTTTCTTTTGAAGGTGAGAGGAAAGAAAGAGATGGAAAGGTAAGGAAATGTTTCGGAGTTGGTCAGGGCTGCCACTGCAGGCTTTGGCTGGATTAAAGCAAGGCTCGTTGCAGCAAAGTGAGCATGTCACTAAAACGATCCATTATGCAGCCTTTGTAGCAATTCAACATTGTTCTTTATCTCATTGGAAATCTAATGGCGTATCTGACTGCATGTCTACACAGCAACTTTGCCCTTTCCTGTTGGACTATGATACAGTATCTAAAGCATGGAGCATGATCACAGCAGGTTCTGAGCCCTGATAAATCCCAAAGCAGCTCTTTTGAGAGCTATAAGCTCTTACTGGGGCCAGCAGTAGCTCTGAGCCCATCAGTGAAGACAATTTAGACATAGTTTAAAAAAAAATAATAGAAATTAAAAAGCAATTAACCTTTGAGTTCAAAGGTCTCTTCAAAACTGGGAAAAAAAAATCCTAGTTAGTATAATCTTTATACACTCCCTTCATCATGAATTTCTGAGCAATAAATTCTAGAACTCTGAAGTGTAACTGCCACGCTGAGTTAATGTTTGATACAACCATTCCTGAATCTTGTATTTTTTTCTGTAACGAAGTGGAATGGAAAGAAATCTTGTTTTTGTTGATGAACCAGAGACAGCTATTTTAAATTTCCATTATATCAGGTATGTCCAACCTGCAGCATGCTTACCATGAAGCAGCCTTTCCTTTGCAGTCACACCTTACTTGTGGCACTGCTTTTTGGCACTACATACATTTGTGAACAGCTGTTTTCAAGGACGAAGCACAGGAAGAGTACAGTTTCATCAAAAGTCTGACAAATGCTGTGAGAGCTGCCACTCAGAGAATTGCAGCCACTGCCATTGAACCAGGCTGATGCCTTACTTCCACAAAAACAAGGTCACATATCCCTTTTGTGCAAAAAGAACAGTATAGGGGAATCTGCAAAGACCAGCTGAGCCTGGAGAGATGGGTACCTTACAACAGATCTGTTGTTCTGACATATCTATCCTCTTTTTCTGTCTAGGGTGCCGTGTGCTTGTCCTTGAGTCAGTAAATCTCCTGAGGAAGTACATCTCCATCCTGGATGTGCCCCTTTCCTGCCTCCTGCCCAGAGATGTGCTCTTCATACTCACAGAAGAAGAGAGTCAGCAAGCCAGGGTGAGACTCTGTATTTGCTTAACCTGTTAGAATAACTCATCATCATTGTGAAGGCTGTGGTCAGAAGGTTCAGGTCATCATCACAGAAAGCTTTGCACGTAACTGTATCTGTAGCTTATAAATACCATTAGTGAACAGTCTTCAGTGATTTGTGAAATAGGAATGGATGAATTGCTTTGCTTCATGTGCTGTGTGGACAGTGGGACAGGGCTGAGCAGATTTACAGCCCAGAGATCATCTGCAGTCATAGTGCATTGAATTTTGAATTTTACGGTGTCCAGGACGTAAAGTATAGGAGGACACTGAAAACTGCAGCCATATTAGGTCAGGAAGGTTTTTGTAATGGTTTCTCAACTGTTTTTCCTTCTAGAGAGCCATGCAGTGTCATCACAGCCAGCTCCTCTGGTTTCGCCGCATCTATATGCTTTTCTCACGCTATGTAGTGATCAATTCACTCCACCTTCTGGAAAAGACAACGCTTACAACTCAGGGAGTAAAAGAATGAGCAAAAAAAAAAAGTCTGTGCCAGGACAACCTCTAAAGAAACCCCAATTATTAGACATTCTCAAGAGGACGGGATTCTCTCTGTGTAGTGTTCTTTCAGACTGCAAAAAGCAGGTTGTATATAAACTGTCTCCTGAATCTTGTTGCCTGATACATTGAGATGAAGGGGGTTTAACTGCTCTGTTTTCTCACTGTAGAAGCTTGAATAGGATATGAAAATTGAATTAGCCTAATTAGAAGTCAAAAGAAGGAGTACTCCACTAGAGAAGATATGGCACAAACTATTTTTCTTCTGGACACAGCTATGAAGACAGCTTTGAAACTTTATCTCTTGGTACTTCTGTAAAATCCAAATATTAGGAGTGACTTTTACAAGATGTTCTATCTTCACAGATAAAACCAGAACTATGAGACCTGTCTTACTCAATCAGAACTTTAAAAAACCAAAGCTTATGAATAAAGCATCAGAAAGTATACTTTTTTTTTCTAATTGCACTGATCTTTGCTGCTACTGCTGCTGCTTTGAGATGCATTGTGTTGCAGGCTCCCCTTTCCCAGAGCATCCCTCATGAAACACAAGCATTTCTTCTTGCTTCAGAACGTGGGGCTTGAGATCAACTTAAAAGAATCTGAACAGGATCTAAGAATGAGTTGGAAGAGACCCAGACTGTAACTAAGTCTTTTGTAGAACACATGGAGACAAAAATAGCAAGCAGTGTTTCAAAAGTTGTTCCACTTATGTGAAAGATATCTGCAGGAGTTAAAAATCCTCGCCCTTTGTGTTAAAAGGTAAGTGAAGATGTCAGCTTTCAGCGATTAATTCCTTAGGATACAGGAAGATTTTAAGAATGACTTGGCATTCTGTGGGTTACAGTGTAGCAAAGTCAACAATACTCCATGTTTCTGTAGGTTTTAGAACTCATTAACGTGGGCTTGTAGCTGCTGGCACATCTTCCCTGCATCTATGCTGCTAGGCAGTGCACAGTCAAGATGAGAACTTACATTGCCAGATCATGATGTGCTGCTGTGAGCACGTCCTGCTCAAGACAACAGATGAGTTCTTGGTTGTACTCGAGCACGTGTCCACTGTTCCAAGAGCATGACTGCTGAATTCAGTTTGCTGGCCATGTGTCAGTGCCTAAGCATATGCCAACTCAGCCTTAAAACCATAAGCAAGTCCAGGCTTAAGCAAATCAGTACTTTTAATCATGTGGATAACTTCAGGGTCCCTCTACTGCATACATTTAATCACCTGTATAAATACTTTACTGAACCTGAGCCTAGTAAGCTCTTTCAAAACCCCTTAACTCTCAATCCATGGTAAGTTCACTGAAGTTATTGGAGAAGAAACAGCATGAGCTAGTTCTTTGTCCTAAGCAAGAGATTACCTTATATAGGACACTTTATATAGGACATTTCTGTAAGCCAGACTTCATTATTTTTAGAACTTTGCTCTGTTTATTGTGATTAAACTTTACCACAGCCAAGGGTGAATTACCGAAGTACCAGTCCTGGAGTGGTTTATTGAATAGAAGTAGCTTTAAAATTCAGAGTCACAAATGAATGGCACAGGCAGAATAGAAATATTTATTTAAGAAACAGATAACAACAACACTCAGAAATGCCCAGACTACAGTTCCATGGCAGTTCTCCAAGTTCAGCTGTTAGAAGGGTGTGTCAGGGTTTTGACATGTCTCTGATGGTCTTATGTTCCTTCACTGCCTTCTCCCATTCTTTGCCATTGATATCCTCCGTAACAACGCTGTGCACGGTGCCCTCATCCAGACAATGGGGAGCTATCCCTAAGAGAAAGAGAGCACACAGAAACCTGCTAAAGAGTAGGAGATAGATGCATCTCTGCTCTCTGCAGATGGGGCACCTCAGAGATTGTCACTAAATGCTGTCAGTTCAGCTACTGTTGTAAGGCTGAGGAGTCTAGATGACAAAATTGTCATGGGTGGAAGCCCACAAGTCACAGGTAAGGCTATTTCATGTGGAGGAGCCACAGGTTCAGGCTACAGCTCTAGATGTTTGGTAATTTAGGAAAACAATGAAGACATGCTGCTCTCTGCTCTCACGCCAGCAACCAGTGGAGTCTTAATCCAATTTTGCTACCACAGTTTGCCAGGTTTACTTTTTACCTACCATAGCCATCTGGATTGGAGCGAGGAGTGTAAAAGCTCTGCACACCACAGGTCTTGCAGAATGTGTGCTGGGCACGATGTGTGTTGAAAGTGTATGTTGTCAAATTATCAGCACCCTAAGCAGAAATGAAAAGCAATGTAGATACATAAATAGGTGTATTAATTACTTTCTGTGAACATAGAGCTAAGACATAAAATTTAAAAATATCACTTTCTTGTCTCTACTTGAGATACAGAATTAGGGCAAGAAAACTGGGAACCACTCACATCTTTTACAATAGTAATAGATTGCATGGATTAGGTAATTTCTTTCTGTTAGTGTTTGTGGCCAGGTTCTTACTGCATTCTTACTCTACCTTCAGCAGCTTGAAACGTGAAGCTGGGACAATGAAGTGTCTGTTCTGCTTCTTTGTGCAAATGCTGCAACTGTAAGAGAAAGAGAAGACCTTTCTAGAAGCAGCAGATGAGTTGTAATACAGGAATCAGATCAGAATCAGCTCAGACCTCTTGATGATGGAAGTTCCACTACAAGCTAAAATGTTTCATTAGCCTCAAAGAGGTAAGTGACAAAAGTGGACCCATATCAGTAGTGTTTGCTAAGCACACCCATGAAACAGACTGATCCTATGCAGATAAGCAATAAGGCATTCACCTCTAGCAAGCATTATATGCCTTTTTTTTTCCACGTGTGCAACTTTCAGTAGACATACCAGGGACTAACAGTAGCCTGAGAAATGCATTTAATCTTTCAGATCAGTATGCCAACTTTTCTAACGTTAATTAACTTGCAAACAAGAAAGTGAGATTCAAAGGTTACTCGTGAGCTGGAAGCAAACTAGTTGCAGGTGGGGGAAACACTTGAAATCAGACATTGCTGTAGTTTGCACTTGTGTCAGAAATGTAACATTTACTGGAGCAGACCAAGTTAAAAGGGAATTGATGTGCTTTGAGTGCACTGTACTTGAAGGAAACATAAAGCAGACCACTGAGCACCTGTAGTCATTAGATCTTTCCCATCACTTTCTGCATGAGCACAGATGAGGGGACCTGAAGTCCTGCACACCAGTGCATCATCTGCAACCACCTGCACTGATCCCACATTGGATCAGCACATAATTAGGCACATACCTTATGGAAATAGAGGAGAGGATGCTCTCCAATTTTATTAGTCTTTTCTCTATGATATTGACTGGAAAAGCATACGAGCTCTTATTCATTTCTGAAACAGGAAACCAAAAACTCACTTGCAGTTAAAAACATGCAGGTCTGCTGAAGCCCAGACCTCAAAGCGCACGGCTCCGCAGTGACAGCCTCCCGTGTGTTTGACCAGGCCTCTGTGCTCACTGGAGAGAGAAGCAACAATCAGGTTATGTGAGTGTAGATTTTTATGTTGGCCAAGGAAACATTTAGGCTACTCCATTACTCAGTTTTGCTTTGAGTGCTTGCAGTACACCTTTAAAAAATATCTCCTGAATTGTATTTAAATAAAGTGCTCCAGAGTGAAGCAGAGAATGAGTTTTGTCTTCTGCACCTATTGCATTTTTGATTTTATTAAAACAGCGAAAGGAAAGAACTGCAGTTCAAGTAGAGTGTACTCTGCCTGTAACACAGGATGTGTGCTCCTCTGCCATGGCCCAGGCCAGAATTCTGGCCTCAGTTACAGCACTAGCCATGTCCAGCAATGATAGAAAGTGGTGTTCCCACAATGCAGCCCTCTTGGAGCTGGGAAATGGCTTTTCCCACATTTTTTCCCCATAGCTGCTCCAGCTCTAATACTCCTCCATGTAAAAGCTGGAAGCAGCAGAGATAAGTGCATTCCACACTGTACTGAAACATTTTATTTTGCATTTTAATTGCAGGGGAACTTTACGATGAAGGAATCTCTGAGCTTCTCCCTCTCCCCCAGGGTGCATCCATAGCAACTCTGCAGAATGAACACACCGAGTCGAAAGCTAAATGCAGAAGAAAACCCATTTCCTTCCAAATTTCCACTCCCACGGGCAGTTACTGATTACAGCCCGGCGATGATGTGCCGTGGACCGAAAGAGCACAGGAGGTGGGTGCGGGTTTAGGTGAGCCTCGGCTCCCCCGGGAGGGAATGCGATCCCCATTGGCGTCTGTGACCGAGGAGCTGTGAATTAGCCTAAAAAGCCACTTTGTGCGGAAGACCCACCCCCTCCCCCGGGCCCGTGTTCACTGCTGTGCAGGCGATGGGATCTGACCCGTCCCGTACTCACTAGGCGTCCAGCAGCAGCCGCGCCGCCTCCTCGCAGCTCAGCCGGTGCCGCTCCTGGAAGGCGGCCCAGCGCTCGCTCTGTGCCCCTAGATCGAACGTACCGGCGGGCAGCGCCTGCTCCCCGCCCCGGGAGCCGCCCGCTTTCTTCCCGCGCTCCCGGCGGTTTCTACCCGCGGGCGAAGCGCTGGCCGCGCTGCTCCGCCGGGAGCGCCGCGCGTTGCCCGCCGCAGCGCGCCCCATGTGCCGCTCCCCGCCCTGCTGCCCGTTGCCGCCAGGGGGCGCTGTCGCGGCGCGGGATAGGGGCGTCCCGGGAGGCTGCGCCCGCGGGGCGCCGCTGGCCGGGGGGCTCCGCCTGTGGGCACAACCGGGAATGGTAGCGAGGAGAATCCCGCCCCGTCAGCTGCTTTGCCCCAGTGGAAAGCGAGCTTGTGCTGTATCTGATTGAGACTTGGTCGCAAAGACGAGTTTTCTGCTGAGAAAAACAGCCAAGGAATGGCCAAGCTGAGGGTTTGGGGCAGCAGGTGAATGTGAATTCATCACATTTATGGAATCTGAGCCCCAGTGCCCGAGTGAATATGGTGAGTTCAGATCTGTAGGTTGTGAGCTCAGGGTGCCAGCTGGCTTGTAACATACCCTACAGTGGTAGAAATGCCAGTTATTTGCAAACATTATCATGAGGTTTTCTCTTTAATTGTAAACACAGGGTGCCTCATGTAGTCAGTTGTCAACTGCTTTGCAGACCTGAGTGTGTTGTGTGACATCTCAGCTATGCATCCTTCCTCCTTTAAAAACAAGGCTGCTGTTCAACAACACTGCAGTGCATCATTATGTGCGTTTGGAAGTGTAGTGAGGCTCTGTCCTTCCTGAGGTGTGAATCATGATGGCAGCTCTGCAGAGAAATGGGCTTTTATCTGATTCCCACTGGGCACTTTTTTTTTTTTTTAAACAAACTGTCACCAGAATCTTTAAGTTAAAAGGAAAACAAACAACACAGCACAGCCCCTGAAACAAACACAACCTCTGACAGCGCTCCTCTGTTGGTAAATAACCTAGAAAAGATTATTTACAAACATCTGTAGGGCAACGCTATTTCTGGAGTGAAACTGCTCAATGTGGGGTAAAGAAGAACTTGTAGGCATCTAAGTTGCATTTGGTGGGGAGAAAAAAAATCACTCCAAGGCTGAATACCCAGGGTGGCTGGAGTGGAAATGTATTTTGTTGGAGCGACAATCAATAACTTGTATTGGCAACAATTCTTAATGCCTTGCTCTTCTCTGGAAGCGGAACAGGGAGAGATGTAAACAAGTGAGTTACTAGTCTGGTATGGAGCAGAACAGGCACCAGAGGGTCACGTCTCATCCAGGAATATAGCAAAGCAACTGGACGATGACGAAACGTCCATCAGCACTCTCTGGTCTGGAAAACAGCTTTAAAAACATGCATCTGCAGTGTGTGGGCTGCCTCCTGAGTTGGCATATAGCAGGACTCAAATAACAATCCAGTGGCTCAGCATCACCCTTCACTGATGATAGGAAAGGGTGCTGAGTTACAGTTTCCTGTTATTCCCCATCTGAACCTCTGTACTCGTTATTCATTCTATTGGAACCATTTTAAATATGCTGTATGTGACAAATTCTGGCCCACGTCAGCACGTTCTTCAGGAGCGCCTGATCTGGGCCACTCCCAGACTTTTAGTCACACTCAACTTCATGTTAGTCACCTTATATTTTGGGAGGAAATGTCACTCAGGTGAAACTGGAGACCGTGAGCTGAAACCAAGTCTGTGTAGTCTGCAGCATGGCTTCATCTGCCCTAGGTGTGGGGTATGGCCTGCAGCAGTTGCAGGTTTCAGCCTACAGTGGTCTGTCCTCTAAAAACAAGAACAACACGAAACTAAAAGGCAGAGCATGTTTTAGGAGCTGCTCATGGATCAGTTCACAGACACCTGCCTGCTTTAGGAGACACTAAACATCTGTACACCCTCCTAAAGCAGTTCCTGAGTGAAAACTGGAGTGTGCAATCTATGTCATATATGCAAATCTGTCAGTTTCCACTTACCTCCACTATTAATTCACCGTATACTAAATGTAGAAAGCATTTTGAGAAGCTAAATTCTGTTCCCCTATGATGTTTCAAGGAAAGAACCGCAAGAAAGAAAAAAATTGAGAAGCAGAATGCAGTCATTTCAGAAGGTTACAGCAAAAATATTCTTCCTCCTCTTTCATTTGTTTCAAAGGACTCATAAAGCTCAAAATTAGGCCTCACGGGAAGAGACAATGCTAGAACTTTACAGCAGATCTCTGGCTGATGTTAAATTTTACTGGTATTCTGATTGCAAGTCCTAAATTTCAGTGGTTGCATATGGGATTGGGGGTACATGCACGTGTGGCTGTTAGATGTTGCCCAGTGCCTAAAGAGTTAACAGCCCTCACACTGATTATTTCCAACGTTTACCAAACATTAGTGGCAGTAGAAGATATAGAATGTTTTCCTCTAAACCTTCTGAAACACAATAGAAAAGGAAGAAACATTCAGAAAGAGGTGAGAAAGATAAGAGGAAGAAAAGTCCAGTAAATGACTGTTCTCTTTGGGTGTATCACATATTCAAAGTTCATCAGCTGATGTGTGTTAGTGCTGAAGTACAAAGGTGCTTTTCTGTGCCATGCAGCTCTGCTTGTATAACAATGACTCAGCTATGCAGAGCTGGCTTGCAGCCTGTGTGGATTCTGCCTGTAAGGGCATTTTCATTGCAGAAGCAGCACTAAAAGGAGCGACATGTTTGTGGGTTTAAGGGAAGTAGAAACCGTAGATGCTTTTTGTCTAACAAACAGGGAACTAGAAGTAGTTCATAGCTAATACCATGCTTAAAAGCACTGAGGTGTTAAAGATTTCACAGTTTGTACAGGGAGAAAAATACCAATGTTTGGATTTTAGTCTTTAGATCATGGAGGGGGACCTTTCTGGATATTCCCCTTATCAAGGGAAGAGCTGGATCTGAAGACAAAGGGTCTGACGGACAAAGGCTGTTCAGAATGGTCTTCAGTGTTGCTGTTCAATAGAAAAATGTTAATTATTCACAGCATTCTAGACTCACTTCTTTCTGTTTTTCAAAATGGTTCTCTGCTATCCTGCTCAGACACAGCAAAGAAAACAGGAACAAAGAGAGCTCCTTCACTGCACTGCAGTTTGGATCGGCTCCAGCAGACTCGTAAGCAGGAGACAGACTGCAAAGACACAGACATGTAATTTTAGAACAGATCCAGATATTGTCGCTTTCACTGGCATTGTGTGTAGGCACAAACCTGTGATTTCAGACTGATGTCTTTGTAAAATGCCCTGTGAAGAGTCTCCCGACATCAGGAAGCGAATTGCCACATCTTCCTCTGGATCATTCAGAGCAGGACAAGCAAGCCCAAGCATGTTGATGGTAGAAGCACTGCTTTTAAAACAAAGCTGTCTCTCCTGTGTGCTGCAAAGTCAAAAAACGTTTTAAACAGGCAAGGGGACAAATAAGTATTGCCCAATTTCCCTATTTTTTTTACAAGTCCAGCTAGTTCTTTTTGTGAAGTTTTCTGCTCCTGAATTTGAAGCTTATTTAAAACTTTGTTTATTTAAGTTATTCTTAGCATAAGGCTTAGAAAAACAAAACAAAACTCAGAGAGTTGTCTTTTTTTGGTAATGTCATAACATCTTACAGTACTTTGAATTGTGACTTGTTATTTCTGCAACCCTTGAGCTTGGCTGTACAAGGACAAGCAGTAACAGGGCACAGCTCTATTTGTCTTGTGACCAGGCCTTATTGCAGCATTGCAGGTTTGGGGAGAAAATATCTCCACAAGCATAAATAGATAAACATAATTATCCTGTGTCATATACAGTAAGATAAACCTGAGATATGTGTGAGTAATTCTAAGAGGTAGGACAATATACTGTTTTTCCGTATGGCAAGTAGCCCATTTTTATCTGGACAAAGGAAAAGTACTGATCTTGCTGTGCATACACGAATCCTCTGATTGTCCAGCTGCCCCCAAGTTAAACTTTTGTAACTAAAGATAAACTGATTGCTTCATTTGACATTGCTCATGTGCAAATGCTATGCTGTTGCTAAGATGGTAGCGCACACAAAAACAGACACCGCGTTCTAGAATGTTCAGATTCATTGGAAACATTTCTTTGACCCCAAGTTTTTCTCTTCTGAAAGCAGGTTACTTTGTACTGCTGCCTAATGACCTACTTCTGAAATTGCTGGCAAGAAACACGTGTCCCCAGCAGCAGGCTCTGCACCCTGGCAAAGGCTGGAACCACCTGTGCACTCAGTCCAGTCACAAGATACGGCGTTCTGTATTTTCAGGTTTGCATTTATTTATACACAGTCCACAGTCAGTGGCTTATTCACCTAGAGCTACTGGAGGAAGGGCAGTATACATACTAAATACTTAGATATATTTAACTAGAAAGCGAACAACTGCTTTCGTAAACAGTTTAGTCACGGGCTCTGCCAATACTTTGTTTGTTTGTTTTTTAAAGGGAGGGCTCTGGCATTTTCTGGAAGTGCTGAAATCCTTAATGCAAGCCCAAAACACTCGGGCTAGGCTTTAGATTAGTTTATGGTTAATCTCCAGTTTAGTAGCAACGGCCTTTCACATTTGTAAATATTATTTCTAGTTTCTCTTGGCTTTCCTCTCAGAGCTCCTTGTTTAGCTGCCTTGGCTCTACCATCTACTGCTTTAGCACTGCGCAAGCAGAATGAACCTATTGGAAACAGTGAGCAAAGTTGGCAGTGTTAAGGAAATGCATGTAATATTGCTTAAATCCGCCCTTTGTCCTAAATCTGCATAGCTGAATAGTATCTCAGAGGTTGGTGACTGCTCCAGAACAGTCTCTGAGCTTTCCAGTTACTCTTTTCCTCCCTTCCTGCCTACATTCTGAACAACTGCTGGAAAGATTTATTTCCTTTTTACTGTAAACCACAAAGTGCTGAGCAGACGCGGGCCTTGCTAAAAGAAATGAAAGTAGAGGTTTTTCTTTCTAACTGAGGGAAATACAGCACATAGCTCTGTGTTAAATCCTGCTATTCACAGCATGCCCATGCTTCCTGAGCACAGGATTTACCAGCAAGTTCATCTGCATTCACCGAGCAACAAATGAAACAGCATGAAAACCTTTTTGGATTTTGCATACTCTGATTATGACATAAGAGCCAGTCCGAAAGGTATAATGAACTTCAATTAACACCAAGCACACTGCCACGTTGGCTCACAGCAGGAAGCTGCTCTGTGACCTGCTCAGGGCTTCCTGTTCCGACAGCAGCTAACAGCCCTTTCAGCAGCAGAGCTCTCGGCACTGAGGAGCTGCCATGCAGGGCGGGCTGAGGGCGGCTCAGGATTCAGGAGAGAGCAGAGCCAGCGTGACACAGCAGCAGCTGCTAACGCTCGCCGGCTTTCTGTGTAACGTTTTCCAGCTCTTCTAACACACATTTCTGCTCTTCCTGGCTTTTCCTTACAGCCACACACAATAGGAGCGGCCCCAGCTATTCCAGTCCCACAAATGAGCCGTGATGCTGTGGTTACGGGGTTCCTTTTGCTCCTTTCTCCCTGCCCTAAGCAATAGCTGCCAAAAAGATACGGCGTAAACACAACGCGCCCATCGCCACAAGGCCTGCGCGCCCTCCATTTTCCTGCTCTCCCCCCCCCCTTCCCCCCCATCGAAATCTGCCCCCGCAGAACAGGGCCGCCCTAGCAACAGGGCTGACCTCACCGCGCACCAATCAGAACGCTGCAGCGCTCGAATCTTCCAGAGCTTTCTTTACAACGACCTCTCCCTATCAGCCAATCAGCAGCCACCTTTCTTACTGCTACACCAATCAATGCTGACCTTGCCGCCGTTTGGAGTAGCCGTTTCACCGCAGCTCCAGATCCCTCCGCACCCTCCGAAATTCGGGGATTTTTAAGGGTCTCAACTCTCTGCCGAAGACATCAGGGACCCCCTTTGCTCTTGGAAGAGGGATTGGAGAGGTAGGGAGGCAAGTATTTGTTTTACCAGGGGGGTTTTGTAAGGGACTACTTTGAGGGGTGGATGGATACGTCAGCGCTGGAGGGGCGGGGACTGTCGCGCGGCTGGCGCATAAATACGTGCGGCGCTGCGTCACCCCGCAGAATACAGTTGCTGCATTGGGAGTTGTGTTTGTTGAGAGACTGCGCTCAGGGCCGGAGACGTGAGTTGTGTGGTGGGGGTGCTGGGGCGGAAGGGGAAAGGCATGGGGTTTTTTGTTTTTGTTTTTTTTTCCAGTCAGGGAGACAGAAAGGGTTGGAGTGAGTCTTCTTCGAGTAGCGTTTCCGAGGGGTGGTGGTTGTGGAGTTTGTAAATCCGTCCTAACGACGTTGTTAAAAACTGGGGCGGAGGGGGAGGGGAGGGGGGGGGGGCGGCGGAGAGAGATTCTGTTTGAAAAAGGGAGGATGTTCGAAAAGATGGCGGATGCGGCGTTGTGCTGCCCGGAAGCGGGGAGCTGAGTCAGCGCCGGGCAGCTCTGCCAACGTGAGAGCCCGCGGCTGGGGGGTGGGGGTGGGTTGCCTTGCAGGTAGGGGAAGGTGGGGGGAGGGCTGACTCTGTGCTGCATGGGTACTGCTTGGGCTTTGAAAAGCATTGGGTACTACTCCAACGAGGAGCTGGAGAACAGGAATTACAGGGTTAGTAATACCTTACTGAAATCCTAGTTTAATGTAATATGGATTAGTGAGTCGTTTTCTCATATACAAAGCATGCGTGGGCTTATGGGTGATTGACTTAATACTGGAATTTCTGTACGTTTTTCAGGTAAACATGCAGATCTTTGTGAAGACCCTGACTGGCAAGACCATCACCCTTGAGGTTGAACCCAGTGA